CCTCCATCAACAGAGCATGCCATGAACAGTGTTAAATTCCCACAATTCCGATAATTATCTCATGTAGCAGAAATCAATAACTTTTACAGAAAAACCACTATTGAAAAGAATAAATGTTTAGATAGAAAAAAAGGATATCTCATTCTTCCTGGATTAGAAAAATATTTACAGGATACCATTGTGAACCTGACATGCCAATTTACAAATGGAAGGTCACTTGAAATTACATCTACAGTTTCTGTAAAGGCTCCGTTTTTTTCTGCCCTTTGCTAAAAGGTTAGCATTGCAGGGATAAAACATCAATGTTGTAAATCAATGAATTAATAGATAATTCAAAATTAATTATTTAACTGGAACAAAAAAGGTCGGAAATGAGAAATCTAATTTTGTAAAATTATTTAAAAGTGAAAATTTCCGATTCATTTTCACATTTAATTTAAATCTTTTACTTTAAAACTTTTAGCTGTGTTTAGTTTGGGGTCGAATTTTGCATCAATTTTAAATGATAGGTTTTGTACAAAATATGATTTTATTCCATAAACCTCTTATTTATGTCAAATAAGGCATGGCCGCTTAAATTATTTTTTATAGAAGTATCTTAAGTGGTTTGAATGTTGTGTTTAGATAAGAATTTCGACCAAAAACCCGAGCTTTCTTTAAAATAGGAATTCTCAACACGCTACTCTGACTAACTCAAGATTTTGGCGTTCTACTGGCGCTCCTAAATCTTTTCTGTAAGGCTGTTAGAATCTATTTATATATTTAGATTATCCCAAAACTCCTGTGCTTTCTTGTGCTTTTGCTATAAAATATATGTTTTCGTTCGAAATACTCGCTGTAACAAAGACGACAAATAATTTTATTGCGGGATTACAGGATCCATTCAAGGATAAATATATGAACTGTGTGCGAATTTAATGAATTTGAGCCGCGGCTTATATCTGCCAAACAAGGGTTTTAATTGACCGTCGGCTTGAATCTTGAAAAATGAATACAATTATAAGTGGAATCAACCATATTTGAGCCGCGGATTAAATTTAAGCCGTGGCTCAAATTCTTAAAAAATTTGGTCTCGGGAAAAGTAATTATGAAATCATTATAAATCAATGCAATCTACAATTTTTTATACAATGGTTGTAAATGAAAAGATTATCAGTATATATTCATTTTGTCCATTCTCAACATGAAACATAAGTATTGTGACAAAAAACAGTCAGCCCCATGACCCCCTAAAATACCCCACTGTGGGGGGGGGGCAATAAAATCAATATCATTAAAAATTGGTATGGTACAATAATAACACATTTTACTAAAAAGGAATTGAGTTTTTGCCAAAACCTTAAATTTTCTTATTTTTATATCTCTGCAACCAGTGGGTTTAACCCTTTGATATTTCAAACTTAGATTATTTAATGAAACAGAAATAATAGTTTGAAATATCTAAGGTCTACGACATTAGGTGCCCAAAATATGGGGATAAGAATATTTGAGTTTGTGGCAAAAACTCAGTTCCTTTGCAAAAAATACAATTGAAATAAAGTGACATCTAGTCTAGATTTATAATGGTAAATAATTTGTATTTTAATGAAATTAACATAATATTGTTAGAGTGTTTTCTGCATACTACATAGTTTTATGTGCCCACTAAAATTATGTATAAATTTTTCTAATGTCTCTCTAGTCTCTACTCTATAATAGAATTTGTGTTTGAATTGAGTATTTCTCACACCTGCCCCAAACAATCGATTTTACTTGTAGCTAATCAAATGATAAAAATCGATCTACACCCTTCCTACCGCCTTTAAAAATCAATTATTCGATCCGCATACCATTGAACAGGTTCTAATTGATTTTCCCCCAAAATTCAAGTTCACCATTGATTATCAATAAATTGTAAATTCAAAACAAAAATATGTCTTAAAATAAAATAACAAACATGGATAAAAATACTTTGCACATTTTTAAAACATGGACTATTTTGAATGATAAACTAAAATTTCCTTTTACTCATAAAAAAAAGTTGTAACCATAATTTTAAAAATCAATTTTCAAATTTTATACAATATTTAGCAATTCGCTAAAAAGGTTTAAAAATCTTACAAAAATTTTATTTAAAAAGAAATAGCATCTAAAAAACACAATACATGTTGTACCTGAAAAATATATACATCCAATTGCAACATTGTATTAAGTATTCCCCTTACCAATAAAATTATTATTTATGTATTTCAGACTTTAAATTGAAATTTATATAACTGTATACAAACTATAACTGCTATAATTTTTAAAAACATTATTGAAACATTTTAATGTTTTTAAAATATTGTTCAAATATAAAATTCATTTTTTTTTGCTTTTATATATTTATAAAAGTAAAAAAGGTCTTTTTTAATCTTAGCGTATAAAATGAGAACATTTTTTTGGGGGGACTTGGATTAATTGCAGTTTCATTAAACAGCTTTTATATAAGCTACAGCTGTCGTTATCCAGAAAAATTTCCTTTTAAAACTTTTTATATTTTTTAAAATCTTTTTACTATTTCTGCTCTTAAGGTTAATATGAAAGCATTTTAAACATCAGGAAATTGAAAATCATGGAACCGGGGGGGGGGATATGAGAATGGGGGAGGGAGTTAATATGTCCCCTTTAATTGTATAACAGAGTTTATTTCAAACTGTGCCTCTAACATCTGGGGGGGGGGCATCCCCCCCTCATTTTAAACAGCTTATTGTCCAATGTGCAATTATTACAAAATTCAGCAAAAAATTATTTTACAAAGAACTAAACGGTTTTGCGACTGAATTACTTAAATGATTTTATATTTCTTTCAAATTTGTCATCCTTCCTATCCTATCCTTCCTATCCTTCCTATCCTTCCTATCCCATCCTTCCTATCCTTCCTATCCTTCCTATCCTTCCTATCCTTCCTATCACTTATTCTTATATTGTCTGTATGTATACAGTTGTACAGCTTGCTCTAGCAGGTTTAAAGTCGGCCCGGTACTTGAAATAAAACGGAGTTATCAGTGCCTATACCTTCTCTATATAGTTCACAGTGAAGGTGTTTGTATCCTAAACACTCTGGGTGGTTAATTACAACACTTTCCTTCTCTTCTACTTAGTAGTTCACAGTGGAGGTGTTTGTATCCTAAACACTCTGGGTGGTTAATTACAACACTTCCCCTCTCTTCTACTTAGTAGTTCACACTGTCTCCGGTTTCATAAACAGATAACATTCACAAATCCGGGAACATATTTTCTATTATTACCCCTNAAAAAATGGCAAATGCCCATGCTCCCAACTCCCAAAGGTACCCTTGACACCTTCATCTGACAAAAAATGGCAAATGCCCATGCTCCCAACTCCCAAAGGTACCCTTGACACCTTCATCTGACAAAAAATGGCAAATGCCCATGCTCCCAACTCCCAAAGGTACCCTTGACACCTTCATCTGACAAAAAATGGCAAATGCCCATGCTCCCAACTCCCAAAGGTACCCTTGACACCTTTATCTGACAAAAAATGGCAAATGCCCATGTTCCCAACTCCCAACGGTACTCTTGACACCTTCATCTGACAAATAAAGGAAAATACTCATGCTCCCAACTCCCAACGGTATCCTAGACACCTTCATCTGAAAAAATGATATGGAAGCTATTGTAATAATTCTAGGTTTATATAAAAGGGTTAAATTCTGAAAATTACTATATGTTGTCCTGCAGTAGAATTGCGTGAATAACTTTTCTAAAGAAACCACAATTAAAAATGATCGGTTTTTAAAATCATTAATATCCAATTCTGAGCAGACAAAGCTTTTAAGGGAACCATTGTTAATCAGGCATTGTTTTCTGTACATGGAGGGACACCTTAAACTACGCAATTACAGTCCCTTGGGAAACTTTAAACTACGCAATTACAGTACCTTGGGACACTTTAAATTACGCAATTACAGTACCTTGGGAAACTTTAAACTACGCAATTACAGTCCCTTGGGACACTTTAAATTACGCAATTACAGTACCTTTGGACACTTTAAACTACGCAATTACAGTCCCTTGGGACACTTTAAACTACGCAATTACAGTCCCTTGGGACACTTTAAACTCCGCAATTACAGTCCCTTTATTATTTAGATTGCATTCCTTGGTAAGTTTAAATGCTCATTAACTTTTTATTCATGAAAGTTTCAATTTCTATATTTTCTTTGTTTTCACGTTTTTCATATATTATGACGAACATGACGCCATTGCATGTCCTTAATTTTTTTCCTTTATCTCATAAGTTTTCTCACATGATCAATTCACAACGGTACCCTTAAAAACTTTGTCAGATCAAGAAAAATGAGATATTCATGATTTATCTTTAAAAAGATGGTTGTGTTATTTTCAAATAAGGAATCTCTTTTAAAGTGAATTTCGGATTTCTTGTTACAGAAACAATGAACAAAAGTTGTAAGAATTAAACACTGTTTAAATTAGAAAATCGACGATATCTTCCAAATTATTGATCGTAGAAAGGTTTAAAGGGTAAATCGAGGAATGGAAGTTTACCTATACAGTCCCTTTAAGATTCCTACTTTTACAATTATCATTCCATCAACGCTTCATTCCTTACGACTAAAATATTTTTGTGGTAAAAGTCCAAAGAGGAAACGGGGGGGGGCAACTGGCAAAACCTTTTACTCTTGTTGTTACCATAGATAAATTATAAATTACATTATCATGTACGGATGAATTCTTTTATTTTATACATGTACAACATCAATAAAAGCGTACATACACAGCGTGGAATTGTGAATCAGGCTGAGAAAATACGCAAAATCTGCGTAAACCAGAAATAGGAAAATCGAAGGGAGCCTCCTAAAATCAATGCTTGACTCTCTCTCTACTCGCGGGGGGCTCTTGGCATCGATTAACCGGCATCATGTACTCAACAACCCCCTCTACACCATCTCCTTGTACAACAAGGGGTGGACAGGGGTGGGTAGGGTTAAATAAGGGTGTGTGAGTTGTTTAACACCCCCTAGAGTGTCGAGGCTGGTTTATACCTGCTTTCCAACAAACCTCGAGGAGGCTGGTAGGTTCGGGAGGCAGCCATAACAGTAGAAAATTCCTCAGAAACCGTAAGCTGAAGAAAATCTACGAAATCTACGGTGTACACTGTACACTCCACAAAGGTGTACATACGATCTAAAGAAGTAACACTTGAGTGTCAAGAGTGTTTTTGCTTGAAACAGGTGTAGTTTACACCTCTAGTTTGGCAGGAGACAACAAGATAGACATTGATAAACGTGTTGTAAAAAAACATGGCGGAAGAAAAGTATAAAAGTGATTTTTAACAGTGAACCAAGTGACTAAAAGTGATTCCATTACAAACTATAGTGATTTGGTCAAAGCTTGGACCGTGAGGGGTGGCCCATTATGGATCAGGGGGGCCCAGGGGACGAGGGCCAGGCTCAAAATTTAGAAAATGATGAAGAAATTCTAACAGCTGTAGAAATCGATAATTGTGTCTCAACAGAGAATGCGCAAAATTTAACACCAGCTGCGCATGCGCAGGATTTACAAGCTGTCATAGCGGCAGCTGGGGAAATTCGAGGGGGAGGAGGGGGGGAAATCCAGCGGCGTGTAGTGGTTGTGGGTAATATTGCGCACCTGGTCGAGCTATCGGCGGCGGGGATTGAACCGGTGGAACCGACGGATATCCCGGACACAATTCAACCATCAGAAGACTACGACCCAAGGGTCAAGCAAGAGCTACTTCCGCACAGTGTAGTCGAACTTCAACAAACTGACTCTGAACAAGTTATTGACCCATCGCCCACGCCGCCGATTGACGAAGAGCCTGCCGGCCAACCTGGACCACTAGACGACGAATCCGCCGAAAATTCTGAGACCATGATTGACACATCAGATTTTCGAATGTCGGAGCCGACCTACCAAACGTTATCCTCTGTTAATGGAAGAATGACACCTCCTGGTTATCTCAGTACTCCACAGGGGCACCACTACGCCACCCTTACCCCCCTCCAGCCTATGACACCCCTGCCTCCCATTTCTTCCCTCCAGATGGGGGAGAAGTTTGGATATCCTGTTTCCTCCCCCAATGTCTCTGGAACCTTCACAGTTATGCAGAACAACTCCCTCGCCCAGATATCCCTCTCCTCCCCCTACAGCTACGACAGTAAGCTGGTCAGCATGGGAATGTCCCCTCCCCACTACTCCCAGAATAACCATATGATTCATCACATGTCCCAGCACTCCCCCACCCTCTCCCCTCAACCCTACTCCCAAAATGGACTCCACTCCCCTCATAAACCAATCTCCCCAAACCCTTATGATTACAGAAGCAATCTTGACCCTCAGTCCCCTCATGATTTGTCCCCAAACTCTGGAGACAATGAGAGGTCCCCGACCTCTGACGTGAACACAACCTACTCCTCCTCCATCTACACCACCACCCCTTTAACCTCCACCAACAACCCCAGCCTCAACGGCATGGCCTCCATCTCCCCTCACACCATCTCCCCTCACCCTTCTCCATCTTTACACCACAGAGACCTTTCTCCACCTTCCCCTCAATCCCTTCCCCACCCTTCCCCCATCCTTCCTCCCACAACCATCCTTCACCACAGCCTTCCACAACATCAATCCATGAAATCCCCCAACTCTACCACATCATCCTCTGGAGAAATTGAAGAAATCAACACCAAAGAATTGGCGCAGAGAATATCAGCTGAATTAAAACGTTATTCAATCCCTCAAGCTATATTTGCCCAAAGAGTCCTGTGTAGGTCCCAGGGAACCCTATCCGATCTATTGAGGAACCCCAAGCCATGGTCCAAGCTAAAATCAGGCAGAGAAACATTTAGACGAATGTTTAAATGGCTTCAAGAGCCTGAGTTTCAAAGGATGAGTGCTCTTCGTCTTGCTGGTGAGTAATCTATATGATTATAAAATGACAAAACTTTCCAATAGACTAGATGCATAAAATGTTAATATTAAGGAAAATTGGACAACAACCTGACCAAACAAAAGACATAATTTTTCTTTATTTTTTACTTTATTTTTTTATTTTTATGCAAATTAAATGATAATTTAAACTTTTGTTTTTCGACTTAATGATATTTAAATATTTTCATTTTCTTAATCCTATTTAGTTTACATTATTCAGTTTTCATTATTTTTATGTTGATTTGTTAATCCACCCCTTACCACCGTCCCTGAATGTAATGCCAAGAAAATTACAAAAATTAGCGGTTTTGATTTTTAAAAATAAATAAATTTCCAATGTTTAGTTTCGCTGTCCGAGTCCTCCCTACAGGGCGGCAATAAAAGTAAGTTTTTTTTAGTTTTTTTAGTTTTTTAGTTTTTTTTCTTTTCATTTTTTTCATTAAATTTTTGGACTTTGACAATGACAATTTTTAACGAGTTTTTAAGAAAGGAAAACGTTGTTTATTTTCTATTTAAGACCCCCTGCTTTCGCGGGCTTTGACAGTGAACATAATGTTGTATATGAAAATGAAAAAATTGTTGAAAATCCACGAAAATATGTTTTTATTCCCACGCCGTTAAGCTTTTATTCATGGCAAGCAACTTGAACAATTGAATTTTATAAAATTCGGTGAACATAAAGAATCCGAATTAAAACTGAAATGAGAAAGCAAACGCGCGTTCAGATAATATTAGCGTTGCGTGCAAGCACTCAAGGGGAACGCGTGCCCCCCCTCCCTCGGCGCACTTGTATAGGGTTAAATTAACATAAAACACAGATGCATATGGTGGGACATATGTTCATCTCCCCACCCCCCAACCAAGCCCCTATATAAAGCCAAGCATCAATTTTAATTAAGATTCGCAGATGTATACAGTATATACTGTAAATCATATACAAACTCTTAGAATACATTTTGTCTCTTTGTTCTTTTCACCATTTTTTAAAACTCCATTTTGCTTTATACGATTTATTTTTCAAAATAGCAATTTGTATTCTGGCAAAATCATTTATAAGTTCGTTTATAGTTCTGCGTTTTTTTAAATATCCTTATTTTCTGTAAATCAAATATATCTAAACCAACTTTTAACTACTTTGTCTCAATGTCTTCTTTTCTGTCTTTCTTATTTTTTCCTTTTCTTATCCTAATAATTTAAGTGTAGCAATATTTTTGGGCTACTATACTTTACTACTTTTAAAAACATTTTTTTTCTTTAATTTTGTTTCAAAAAAAATATTCTCATGGAACCTAACTGAAACAGTGGGGAATACGCTTACATCACATATGTTCATGCGGCGAATAAGGGGGGGGGGAGGGGTGCTTTCAAAGGGTACCTAGGAGGGGGGAGATATGGCAGGTGCATTGCCCCCCCCCCCTCGATTCCGTTATCAGTTTGGTCCATGGGATTCATTTGCCGACGCACAAACACGCGAAATACGAACGCACAAATACGAATAAAAGAAAAGGGGGGAGGAGAATAAAGGGAGGATGGTGGGGGGGGGGGTAGAATAAAGGAAGGGGGGAGGAATAAAGTAAGGGAGAGGGGGATTATTAAATGAAAATATAAAAATTGTTTTTATATATGGCATGTATCTCAAAATGGTAGTTTCTTAATATCACAAATTATATATAGATAGACATGACGGACAAATAGACAGCTAGTGGTTTAATAGTCTAATGGAAGATAGCTAGATTGAGAGGCATAATGGAAGATAGATAGAAAGATATATAGATAGATAGACATGATGAACATGATGGAAGATAGATGGATAGAACCAAACTAAAGTAACTTATACTAATTGTAAACTGATATAAGTTAAGAAGACTATTCAAACTAAACAACAATAATACTGTGATTAACTGAAATTGACCCTCGTTAAATTAGAATTGTTTGTTCAGATTATTTTTATAGAAATATTTGGCGGATTTTCTGTCCGCGGTGATTGTGTAAAGTTTCCCCGTGTTTCAAACTCCGGAGAACCGCGGGAAAGTTTACCGCGGGAAATCCGGGAAAAGTAGGAAATTCTTGTTTTTCTATCCAGGGTTTAAACTTTAATCCTCGGTTTAAAGTTAGCAGATTATACATAAGCTTTAGTTACCTCGCAAAGCACTTCCTGCCCCCCCCCCCCCCCCCCCCCCCCAACCTTTACTTCATTACTCTTTCAAAATCTCAAATTGGTCAAAATCCTCAACGCAAATTAATCTTTCCTGTTTTCAAACTTTCATGGATTTCAACTTGAAGTTTCAGGGATTTGTGGAAACAATTTCAAAGCTTATCCGCCCTTGTCTATCCAGTATCCATTACCCCTATATATAGTTTTCATTTTTTGTATCTCTAACATTGTTAAAAGACAAAATATTCAAGATTTGAGTGCAAAGGAATATTCCCGAACAGTTTAGCGCGCCATTAGTGTCAAACACCAAGAGGGAAGAAGATAAAACCAAACCAAACTGGGAGACTGGGTGACGTGTCAACTTTATGATATAACATTTCCGATGCGAAGCTCTAGATTGAATGTCGAGGGGTTTATTGCAAAGCAATTCTGTACTTTTATTAATGTTCAAAATAAAATGTTTTTGTGTGATGCCATTAAAACCGGATAGGGGACTTGACATTTCATGTTCGATTTCTCTTTCTTTAAAGATTCTAATTAAGATTCCCTTTTTATTCTTATCCCAGCCCTTTTACCGATTTTAGATATATTTCCTAATTTGCCGCATTTACAAGATCTTGGCGGGGTTTCTCCTCCGGATTTGGCGGGCTTTTTCTTGGAGATTTTTACCAAATGTTGATTTTTTTGTTCAAATTTTGAGAGTAAAAGAGTACAAAATTTGACATGGGGATGCACAATTTTGATTTATTACAAATAGATGCATCTCTGCTGTGCGAAAATGTAATGTATGCAATTATTGAAAACCTATATTTTGCATATAACAAATTATTACACATATTCCATGGAATTCGCAATATACGCCTTTTTTTGCGAATCATCTAAACTTTTTCCAATTAACTTTTTTAATCATCAAATTGAAAATTACCATCTTAAGAGGAGACGGGGGGGAGGAGGGGGAAGAGTCGAGAGGGAAATGGGGGGAAGGGGAATTCATTAAATTTAGATTAGCCTAAATTTGAATATCGATTTAACGTTTTTGGCGAAATCTGGGGATTCTGAGTTTCCCTAAATATGAAATTATTTTGACCAGCTGGATGGGGGGGGGGGGGGGGGGGGGGAGGGGTTGACTTCTTTATAATATATGCATTAAAGCTTGATATAAAAGGCTTATTATTAATTTTGTATTGTTTAAAAAAACAAAGAAGGCGTTTCAAACAGCTTGATTATTATTATTGTTAATATTTTGTTAGTTTCACATTATTAACCTAAAACTAAATCCATTTAAAATTCAGAAATGAACTAAAAACATATTTTTTAAATTAGACAATACTTTCATTTTTAAATCGATTTATTTAAACTATAGAAATGTAATTTAGAAAGTTAAGCTTAATGTTTGCTGATAAGTCGGTCGTTCTTGGAATAAGTGTTTAGCAAGGGAGTTGTCTTTTTAAGCCATTCTTATCATAATTTCGCCACCCCTTTCATGAAAGTACTGTCTACATTTATTTTATAATTTTGCGCCAGAACAGGCGATATAATTGTTTTCTTTACCCTGTTGAAATTTGAAACCAAGTTTCTGGCTTTTTTCTTTTACATTTATGTAAAATTATGTGATTATGTAAAATTAATTACGTAAACATAATGTAAAATTACCTTAAACAAATATTTACGTTTTTATGACCAAAATGGGGTATTTTAAAGCCTCGAAGTAACATTGAGTTGCTTTTTTTAACCCAAACCCCCTAGCTCTATTAACTTTGTAAGTCCCCAAAAAATGAATCTCATATGACCTTTGGAAATTGGAAAAGAGTAATTCGAGTCCCCACTTTCTCCCTGAAATTGATCTGTAAGTAACAAGTGTAAATCCATACATTGATTGCATCCTCAGAAAAATCTATAAATTGATTTGATTTTGAGAAATCCATACATCGACTGCAGCCTGAGAAAACGAGACAACATATTAAAAATCTATTAATCGACTGCATAAAATCTATTCATCGACTGCATAAAATCTATTCATCGACTGCATAAAATCTATTCATCGACTGCATAAAATCTATTCATCGACTGCATAAAATCTATTCATCGACTGCATAAAATCTATTCATCGCTTTTTTTAACAGAAAATCCGCAAAACTAAATACAATAATTGCATAAGTGAACTGCAGAAAATCTACGAGACAAAATATTAAAAACCTATAAAACACAACAATTGGTTCAAGGTTGTTCACCGACCCAATATATGGATTGTAGATAAACCTATATAGTATATATATCCGATATATTTTCGTCATTTTAACCGATTTCCTATATACTTCCCCAACCCCCCTTCTTTTGCGTACACTAGCTTGCTTACAGTACGTTCTATGAAAATTCTAATATTTTAGATTTTGAAATTGTTGAATTTAAATTTATAGGGGTCAGAGCATTGAAGGACCATTCGATTGTTTGGTCCGAAATTTGACGTTTCAATCAAAACTTGGGAAAATTTGAAAATGTTTAAATATTTCAATTCATTTTCATAAATTGCATCTTTATCCTTCAAACATTTTATATTGAAACGCTGCAATTTATGTAGTTTAAAAATATAAGCTCCATGTTTTGTATCAAGCCCCTGCCCTTCTGGCTTTATTGCTTGGCGGTATAAATAGTGGTCCAGGCTTGACATCTTTGGAAAACTGAATAAAAATAATATTTAATAGAACTTTATTTAAAAATATTAAATTAAAGATTTTTAAAGTATCAAATATAATCTGGCGCAGATGGTGTATGTGTGTAGGCAGACTTTGTAGGTCTTTACACAGTTTTACGTTTCCTTCCGACATACTTTTTTAACAACGAAGCCATAAGATTTGTCAGGTTTTGCTTTGCAGGATGGAGGGGAGGGGAAGCAGGTTTTCTTGAAAACTTTGTTACCTTTTGTTACCCAATGTGCTCCCCCTTTGGTCTCTAAACTGTTATAAAGATCAAACGTAGTTTGAATATTAAAATAAAATTCAATTTTCTAAAACAATATTCAGGAAAATTTTATTTTTATTCAATCTTGAATACACTTTGTTGAATGGAAACGTGTTTAGAGAATCAATTTTGAAATGTAGATTTGATCTGGGTGACATCTAGCGGTGACAGATAGAATTAAAAAGGAAACCGAGCTGACAACTCTAGACAACTAGACGACACAATCTTTGAACAGACAAACAATTATTGTACAGACACAATAATGGAGAGTCAAAAAACGCGAGAAAGAAAATTTTGCCGCAAACATCAGTTCTGCCGCTTAATCCAATTATTTGTTTAATTCATTATAGGATTCTTTATTTATCTTGTTAAATCTTTTTGCGCAACCATTCTATCTTTCTTTCTAACTATTTACATATATTTATCTATCTATTTAACTTTCTATCCTTTATATCTTTATTCTAAATTAATAAGTATGTTTTATTAAAAGCTAAGCCGAAAAGTAATTATCCATGTATATAGAATATTGGGAAAAAATAAGACTATTATTATTCCATGATAATACTATAATAATAATGATAATAATGATAATAATAACAATAATTATCGAGCAGTTTAAAATAGTTTGTTGATCAGGCATTATAGAGCTGTCAATTAGCAATACATACAACCCTCCCCCTCTTGTAGAAATAGAACTAGTATTTTAAAAAATAATAATTTATTTTTATTTTCAGTTATGCAACAATCGGCGGCAGAGAAAGATCGTGGTCGTTCAGGTAAATTTTTACAATATTTTAAAACATTTTTAAACATTTGGAACATTTTTTTACTGACGAAGTTTATTGGTTACTTGATACAATTAACACAAATATATACCTCAGAAAGTTTACGATAAATGATACAGGGTTGTTCATCAAGCATAGAATTTAAATAGTTTTAAGAATATAATTTTATTTTGATACTATAACATTTTTTAACATCTCAGTTATTATGATTTAGTTGTTTGTTTATGTTTACATTTTTGTTAAACATGATGCATGCTTTGTAACTCTTCTAGCTTCAGGAGATAAAAATTTTGAAGCTATAAGGGGTACATCAGATATTTTCTTCATTTCTTCTTTTCTTTCTTTCTTTTCATAATTTTCAGAACAGTGACACCGTCCAGACATTTTTTGTTACCAATTGTTTTATTTTATTTTAAATTTTTGTTTATTTTAAAACACAAACTTTATTTTTTTTATTTTGACAATTTTTTTTCGACAAAAATCAATTTTAAATAAAAGGTAACAAAATTGTTTGCTCCCCTTAGGTGAGTCACATGTAAATCATGCTTCCTCTAACCAAGGAAAAAATCGGAGAAAATCTCCGTACACCTCCTGCCATTCATTTTCTTCTCATTGGTAAGTACGGGTGGGGGTGACAAATCCACGGAAATTCGAGATAGTGTAAACTGTACATTGAAAATGTGTACAGTTTACGGGGGAAAACTTGAGAGTTTAAAATCCGCCAAACTTGTTTTCTGCAGTTTTCAGTCCTTTTCTTGTGTTTTCAAGGACAGAGAAAAACGATTTGTCACTCCCGCTTCTCTTCACTTTCCTTTCCTTTGCTTTCACTTCTGTTTTTCTGTCTAGAATTTACGGTTATTAATATTTTCATGAAAATAATAAAAGTTGTTTTTACAAAATTTCTGAATTTGTTTTGAAACAAGACAAGTTTGCAAGAAATATGTAGCAAATCGATGGGATTAAAAGAAAATTCTATTGTCTGCCATTTTTGGGAGTGGGGGGGGGATCTGATTATAACGGGTGCTCATGGTAAATATTCTTAAAAGTAATAGGGGGCGGGGATGATCATTTATGATTTGAAATTTTACATTTTATTCATCTCAAATTATCCAATTCAAACGTTTAGATTCAAATTATTTTTTTGAAGATTCAGCAAANATTCATTCTAAAAAATTTAAATTTTAAACTTAAATTATATTATTAATGTTTTTTTCTCCCTGAATTTTAGGTTTACTCACGAACTGTAAGTATTTAAGGGCTAAAATAAACACCAATTGACCAGAGGCCGTCTAAAAATGTTTTTTGTAAATCAAACAAAAAAGTACAGGGGACACAGAAAAAAGTACTTTTTCAAACATAAAAAATGAATAAACAGTGCAAAAAAAACGATCAATTTTATGATTGTTTGGGAATTTTTTATCGATATTGTAATTCTAAATCGGGTTAAAAAAGTATATTACATTTCAAAAAAACTCAATACCTGTTTAAAGCTTTAAAAATATTTCAAATCTCACTTATGCATCTCTCTTTTATTGTTTCTACCAATTTTACTTTTATGTTTTACGTTTAAAATTTAGTGTAAATTATTTTTAGTTGAGACCCCTTTCTACACCCTTAATAAATATTTGTTTTTTTTTACCTCACGCTGTCTTAGAAACAGAAAACGCCCTTTTTTAATATATTCAAAATGTTATTTAAAACTTTTACAAAATTGAAATGCATAAAAGAAATATTTGTCTTAAAGTAGTATTTTTGTATAAATTGTAGTTAGAATACTTATTTATTTTTATTTTGTTAGTGTTGAAAGATATTATTAATTCTCAAGCCACTTTTTTCATTCTCTCATCTTTCCCCCTTATTTCCCCACATCATTATACCCCACTTTAGATCCCCATCATACGTACAATTCCCACCCACAATTCTCAATCTTCGAAAACGCGCAATTTGTAAAATTGTCAACGAAGAAATCCTCCAATTTTGCGGGAAAGGAAATTCACAATTCATGGTTCTTTTTCTTATTGAATGACGCTCATATTTACCTTTCTCTTGTTCAAACGCTTTTCATCCTATTCTTGCATGATATTTCATAGTTTCATGTCTATTTTGTTATAAATTGTTAGACTGTTTCTTTCATTACTTTTCTCCTATTCCCCTCCTCTCTCATTTGCCCCTGTTAGTATGAGTAATGAGAGGGTTAGAATTGCTCATCTTTAGTAATCATTGTTCTCTCACCCCTCCCCCTCACCCCCTTTACCACTCGATATTTTCTTCATGTTTCCTTCAACCAATCACTCTAAATATTAATTTTATATTTCATTACCAACCTTTCTTAGCATGCTAAAAATATTCTTTTTGTTTATAATATTCCAAATATGTAGAGTTAGAAATTGATTAACTGGAACCTTGTTTGAAATTTGATATTCTCATGTTTTTCATCTTCTTTAACTAATCCTGTAAAATTGCAAAAGGTGGAAAACTGGAGGATTTCAACATTTCCGAAAAATGTTCCCGCCAATTTTATCAAACCGCCATTTTTTTCAGCGTGCAAGAGGAAAGACGTTATGGAGCTGGTAGACACCACGCACTCGCCGGCCCAGGGGGGGCAGGCATCCAAGAAGCCCCGCTTGGTTTTTACGGATCTCCAACGCCGTACCCTACAGGCTATTTTTAAGGTACAAATTGTTCATTCACTTTTAATCAGCCAAACTTTCTTTTTCGTGATACTTGAAAAAAATTTTAATATGAAATTCAAAAACGTCAAAAATCATAAAGTTTCTAAGCCTATCCGCAAGTAGAGATTATCCGGATTTAAAAATACTTACATTTTCAGGATTAAAATTTTAAGTTAAAAAATATTTAAGAATTTATATTCGTGTGTATAAAAAATGAGAAAACTTAGGAATGTAGAACAAAGATTATTAAAATTCCTAATTAGAAATGTATTGTCAAATAAATGAAAAAATTTCCTAATTTTTGTCCTAAAAATGGATTTTTTGGTAAAAAGAAATAATTTACAACGTATATATGAACGTACTAAAATGCTTCTTTCTAAAAATTGAAATACAATTTGTGTGCACTCAAGCAAGGCTTATGTTGTGTTATAAATATTTAATGCAAGAAACATTATAAAAATGTTTAACAATCTGTTAAAAGTGTTAAGAGTAGCTGATTATATTATGTTCTAATGCTCAAACATATTGTTAAATATTTTGAAAATGATTCAGATCATTACCTAATAATAACACAATATTAGTTTAATTTAAATACTGTGTCTCAGGGGCACTTTATAAAGCACAACTTCTGCACTTTATCTGGGTGGACATATAATCATGTACTGTTGTTATAAACTTGAAAAGTTATGCACCTATATCAACAGTACTGTACAGGGTAACCCAAAAAGGATGAAACTTGAACCAGAAAGTTGAATTTGATGTTCTGCCCTGAAATTCTGAAATTCTGAAATTCTGCACAATCGTCGCCAAAGTTTCATTCTTTGTGGGTAACTCTGTATTCCGTTTGTAAACATGCACTTGTGCACTTATGTATTAATGTTATTGTACCAGCACTTTGCACTGTTAGAAGAACTTCTCACGTTTTATTCGAAATATTCAACTTACGTTTCGTAATTGTGAACGGCTTTTTCGAAATTACCAACAGAATGTGAAAGCTTTAATGATTAGGGAGCTAGATATCTCTTACAATCTGTTTATAATTTCGATGAAATTTTCGTTATTTCTAAATGGTTTCGGTAGTTTGATATTTCTAATAAAATGTTAGGTTTTTATAACAATGTGAACTATAGTCAACACCTTTCTTTCGCTCTTCCTTTCGTGTGGCACTCTTCCTTTCTAGTGGCACTCTTCCTTTCTAGTGGCAATCTTTCTCTTCTACTGGCCCTGTGACCTTTCTTTAGGGCCAAACCTTTCTTTTTGGCCCCACCTTTCAAGAAACGGGTTGAGACCTTTCCTTCTTCACAGGCACATTCCAAAGTCAAGCAAAGGAGAAAAAAATGTTTTTATTTTTATTTATTTTCCTGATTTTTCTTATTTCACTTTTCTTTTCTTTCTCGTTGAAATTGTATTTTGTGATTTTTTTATTAAAAAGAACTTTCATAATTCAAACAAAAAAATACAATTTCAACTTTTTTCACATTATGTTATTTACTGAACCAACCTTACATTATTTGACAGAACTTTTTATTTTAATATTTGAAAATTATTTTATGATTATTTTTTAATCATCAAAAAAAGACTTAACATATACGAAGACATCTGGATCGACTGTAGTAAAAAAAACGTGGAATGATTTTTGTATTTTTTTATTCATACAATGAAGACGACTTTTTTATTTAAGTTTTGATTATTAAAAAGCTTTTTAAGAACTAGGCTTTTTGGACGCTTCGCGCCCATTTTCTATTTCAACTTTTGTTTTCTATTTCAACTGTGAGCATCTTCTCTTTGTACAGTATAAAACAAAAACAAAAATTTTGATCATTCATAAACCTTCCCTGGGGTCCCACACAAAATTTGGGCCCGATCGGTTCCGCCGTTTTGACGTTTATTGGATACAAACAAACAGACAGACAAGCTAAATTTATATATAGATTACAATTTTACAAGTAATCTTTTTTGATTGACAGTTTCTCATGACTTCTATGTTTAACAGTTTGATATAAATCAAAATTGAAATCGAAATAATTCTTCATTGTATTGATATAATCGCCTACCACTGCATGTATATATGAAATTTCCCTAAAGATCTTCAAAGAAACGTACACTTTCCTTAAATTTAGATTTTCTAACCTCTATATCTGGAAGCAAAGATATAAAGATTAGAAAATTACAGTTTGTGCTAAGTTTTCACTTTCTTTGTTATAAATGTCACATTTTAAAACTTTTTCTTTAGAAATAAATTAGTCTCTAATTTCACAATATAAAGAAGACGACAATCATTCCATAGTTTTTTGGTTACCACTGTACATTGTACTCAAACCATTGTTTTGTTTCACTAATCACCACTGACAATGCTTACAAGGTTATCATTTAGTTTATTTTCAACTTTTTTTTGTTTTGATTTTTTAATAAAAACTTGGAAGCATTGCTGCACCATGCACTGGGATTTTGTGTTGATTAAACATTATCAAACCTCGATTCTCAACTCGGATTTATTCCTTTTAGGAGACCAAGCGACCTTCCAAGGAAATGCAGGTCACCATTGCCCGCCAGCTGGGACTTGAACCAACCACCGTTGGAAACTTCTTCATGAATGCCCGCCGTCGATCCCATGACAAGTGGAGGGAAGGACCTGATGGAGACGACTCCGACCTTGACTGTTCTGATGGTAATATCAAGTATGAGGTGTATGACTGTGGAGATGGTATGGATTATGATGACACATATGACCCTGCAATGACCAGCCTTCAGGATGGGTCAGCTTACCACGGGATGACCTCTATCCCAGCACCTGTGCACAATCCGCACAATCAGCTACAAAGCTATCCTTCTTCATGTGCCTAGGCCTTGAGATGTATGCCTTTGTTGGTTTATTGTGTGCCTAAAAGTTAACCTTCATCTGGGTGTGCCTGAAAGGGTTGAATTTATATGTGCCTGAAAGGTATCTTCTCTCTGTTTGTGCCTAAGAAAGGTGTTTGACTATAAGAGGGTAAGCCTGGTAAATCCAATCCGTCCTACCTAAAATTCCTCAATTTATTTTAGGAAACCAAAAGGCCCTCAAAAGAAATGCAGATTACTATTGCTCGCCAGCTTGGTCTTGACTCAAGTACTGTCTCAAACTTTTTCATGAATGCCCGCCGACGATCAATCGACAAATGGCGGGAAGACGCACCAAATCAAACTATTTCATTAACCTCCGGCGGTATAAATCGAACTATCTTTGTGACCTCCAGCGGTACTCCAGCAACGGTTCTAACCGGTACTCCGGCCACAATCCTTCAGCAGCTCAGTCAATCCGACCTTTCTCCATCCATAGCTGGTCAACTTGATTTATGACAGGGGGACGGTGTGGGGGCTTCCACTGCCTCCCACACCGTCTATATCATTCCCAGGGACCGACTTGTCGCCGCAGGCGGAACCTTAACCCTGTCCACCCCGTCCGGTACACATCACCTCACCATTGATGAGGATGAACTCCTTGATGGTGATGTTATGGATGATGATGATGATGAAATTTTGGAAACTGAAGAGGTGCTTGATGATGATGATTGTCTGGACCGATCTCCAGATTAAATCCCAGGAGCTAGACCCCTCTCTCCCTCTGTACACTATATATACAAAAGTAACCTAGTCACAAATACCAAAAACTCATGCGTTAAAACTCGAACATATTTCACGAACAGAAAGTGAAGAATTTGGAATAAAAATCCTGAATTTTAGTCAGAAACCTGAAACCAAAAAAAATCTAGTTTAAACCCTACCAAATGCTAAATATGTAACTATAAAAATGTAAAAAATATTGCCAAACAACATAATTTAGTCATCCCTTTTGGTCAGACAGAAAACATTATCTCTGTCGTAACTTTTTTAGTCTTATAATTATATATAGTCATTTTGGGAACCTATGTGCACTCTTCTTTAGTTATAATAATTCTGTGATAAAATTGAATTTGTGCATTTTATAATTTTTTCTTTCATACTTTTCTTTTTTCTCCAACCTTTATACATTCCGATATATTCATTTCCAATTAGAATGAAAATGAATTTTTGCACATTTTTAGGTTATAAGATTTTTTGAATGTTTCACTTATCAGAGAAATGTTATTATTATTATTATTATCATTCTTATAAACTAGTCATTTTAACAGTTTTTAGTCACTTGTCGGCCGTTAGAAAAGTCACACAAAAACAATGTGACCGATTTTGAGATCTCATCGTTTTTTGTCGTAACCATGTATTTTTTGTCTAAACTAAACCAAACCAAAAAAAACCGATTTGCAATAAAAGCCTATTTTTCGTAAAGTTAGACTCATCATGCCTTATTATAAAATCATATTTAGGATAATTCTTGTTCTCACTGTAATGTGTATATATATAAACATATATATACAAAACATCTATCTATCTATGTTACTTTTTCCAGTGTATAAAATATCCCGTGTGGAGATTAATTTGGTCCAAAAAAATCTGCAAAGCAAATAGTTGTAAAAAGTCACATATCAAGCATTCAACATTTTGGGGGATTTTTTTACCTTTTTATTCTAGATTTTTAAATTTCCGTTGATTTTGTCAAAACCATGTAAAGCATAACAACACTGAAAATGTAGCATAACTTGTTATAAATATGAATATATTTGTTCAAAATAATTGGTGAATTATGATTCAATTGCAAATAAATGTAATAAATATCAAAAAAAAAAATTTAATCAGGTAGAGATGAATAGTTTGTTAGTTATTTTTTAAACTTTTTTTTATGTTGTTAGAGACCCAACAATATTCTCAAGTAGAGTTTAACAATATTTCCAAGTTGCGTTCTTTTTAGTCTTAGTCTTTGCCACAAACTCACATTTTATAATACCTATATCTTTATAACCTGATGGTGTAAATATCTAATATTTCAAACTCAGATTATTTGATCTAACAGAATTCATAGTTTGAAATATCTAAGGTCTACGACATTGGGTTGCAAATATATAGGGATTAGAAAATCAGTGCTTGTGGCAAAGACTCATTTCCTTTGCTTTAAATTCATTGTAAGACATTTCAGTTCGAATAAAAAAGCTATAAATCAAAGCAATAAAAAAAAACAAGTTATATCAAAACAATTTTAATGAATTTTGCACAAAATAAAATATTATGAACTCTTTCACAATGTTGGAATATGATATATATCATCAATTTTTAAGTCACTTTAAATTAAAATAAAAAACTTTGAATGTCCAAAAATTATTAGAAAGGCGATGCCCATCTTTATGTATAATTGATGTCATGCTAAATGCTAATTATCCACAGAATTTAGTTGTAAATGACAAAGATTTTCAAATTTTTCTATTTGAAAATTTGTAATTTTCAAATTTGGTTTCTCTGTAAAAGTGCATTTATGCAGCAAATACAAAGAAAGAAATTGACAGAATTGAATACGATTAAGATAGAAATCTTTCTCATTGTTAAATATTGAAAAATATCAAAAGGGGCCGTTGGTCTTTGTGAATCCGACCTGAAAGTCTTTGATTTGGTGGTTTACTTGAAGTTACGTAAACAGTCCCTTGATTTGGGAGGTTTACTTGAAGTTACGTAAACAGTCCCTTGATTTGGGGGGGTTTACTTGACGTTACTTAAACAGTCCCTTGATTTGGGGGGTTTACTTGAAGTTACGTAAACAGTCCCTTGATTTGGGGGGTTTACTTGAAGTTACGTAAACAGTCCCTTGATTTGGGGGGTTTACTTGAAGTTACGTAAACAGTTCCTTGATTTGGGAGGTTTACTTGACGTTACGTAAACAGTCCCTTGATTTGGGGGGTTTACTTGAAGTTACGTAAACAGTCCCTTGATTTGGGGGGTTTACTTGAAGTTACGTAAACAGTCCCTTGATTTGGGGGGTTTACTTGAAGTTACGTAAACAGTCCCTTGATTTGGGGGGTTTACTTGAAGTTACGTAAACAGTCCCTTGATTTGGGGGGTTTACTTG